AGGTTTCATGGGTACTGAACTTGAGGCCTTCTACAACAGAAAGAACAACCGACCGATCACTTTAGGACCTGGTACTCCATGGCCAAATAGAACTGAAGCAGGTGTTCGCATGTACTAAAAGCAGATCGCCCTGATGCTTAAGGCCGTGACTGAGGATCCATCCAGATACGAGATCACATACCGTCAACTCCTCAGACAAGCATCACTGGCCAGGGACTCAATGATTACTTTTGGTGGAGTATCTCCTTTAGAGATGGCGTTTGGTAGGCGAGGCGACCTGCAGATCTTTTGTATCCTGAAAACATGACACCGGAACAGCTAACTGCTTCACCTCCTTCTCCTGAAGATAAGATCTACTATTGGACAGAAGATAAATCTAAGGTAAAGTCAGATGGTACTCACAGTGGTAAATGGATCAAAGGCAAGGTGATCAGGTCTGAAGGCAGTATGGTTGGTATAGACCTAGGCACCCGTATTCTCAAGGTCAACATCAGCAAGGTACGAAAAGACATAAATCCAATTGAAGATGTTGAGGCGCCGCTCGATCCTGTTGCACTACTGAGTTCTGAGAGTGCACGGACCGACATTCCGGTCCCTGACCATGCCAGCTCTCTTGCTCAGAGCGACGGAGCCCAGATTGGCGTCGAAGGCTTCACATACTCCTCTTATGCATGGCAACCAGTCAGGTCTGGCAAGGTTGCTTTTCTAGAATTGTTCGCAGGTTCGGCAACGCTAAGTCAAGTAGCTGCCATGAATGGTTTGCGTGCTGGGCAGCCTATTGACCTTAGAACAGGTTTTGACATCTTGACCAGTGACGGTCGGAAGAGGACGATGGGGATCATCGAGAAACAGAAGCCTAGAGTCATCTTTATGGCCACGAAGACACGAAGCCACGAAGACACAAAGCGGCTTCAGGTCTTCAAGGCTTCAGGTCGTCAGAAGGCTTCAGGTCGTCAGAAGGCTTCAGGTCGTCAGAAAGCTTCAGGTCGTCAGAAGGCGTCAGGTCGTCAAAAGGCTTCAGGTCGTGAGAAGGCTTCAGGTCTTCAAGTTCAGGTCGCCAGAAGGCTTCAGGTCTTCAAGGCTTCAGGTCGTCAGCAGGGCTTCAAGGCTTCAAGGCTTCATGTCTTCAGAGGAAAGTCACCCGGATTGCCAACACACTGATTTTTATGTTCGGCGCCTGATGAACCGAGTCAACTCACTCCCTAAGGGACATGAGTATAATCCTTGGTCAGAGTCATTGCGCATTGCGCATGATGTTTCACATATGCGCCAGATTTTTGCACCTACCATGGCGTTTGAGCACGCCACAGTTCTCCGAGGTACATTCGAACCGCTAAAGGTCAGGTACCGACAAAGTTCTGGTGTACTTTTTCTATGGCGTAAGAAAGATACAATTAAGTTGCATATCCAGTCACATCCTTTTGACAACTTGTCGAAGCTCGTGGAGTCAAACTGGAGCTGAGTCTTTTTCTGGAACTCTGATGGTCGCGCGCCGTCCAAACCTGTTCACACACCTGTCATTCCTGACACTGTTGGTGCATCACCGGCACCACCTCCTGGTTTGGAACCTGATGAGCACATGCATTCACCTGATCATGACATGCCTGAAGACATTCCAGATGATCCGATCACACCACCTCCAGGACCACATTCACCCGATCACGACACGCCTGGAGACATTCCAAATAATGATCCGTTCACACCACCTCCAGGACCACAACCACCATCACAGTTTCCACCCGCTATCGCAGCTCCTCCTGTTCCAGATTCCTTTTTAACTTTGACTCCTGTCCAGCCAGACACTCCTGTTGTTCCTACTTTAGTTGTTCCTCCTAACATCGGCTGCTGGCTTGTCCTTCTTGTCTTCAGACGAGTCTGCCTTTTACATCCATCTTTGTATGTATGCGCTCGACGCTTACCATTGCAAGCTGGGCAAGATGCAAACGAAGGATTGACTGCTGTGAAACTGTGGATGAACACGACATCACCTGAGAAACGACAACATCATTCTCCTGTGTCTACACGCCCTTCGACAAAAGCTCGTCCTACCATGCCAGTGCCACAGATGCCTGACTCGCCTTCACCTCCGCCGGAACCATCTGGGGGGCGATGATAAACTCGCATTTTCGCCACCAAGGTAGCCCACTCTGGTGATTACATTACCGGTGCAGTAGACCTTGACTTGCAAGAACTGGGTCCGATCAACAGAATTGCTTAACCTGGGTGAAACCGAGGAAATGCATCAGCTCTTTACGGAACCTGCACGTACACACCAAGGCGTCCCTTAGCGCTTCCCCTGTCACATCCCAGCTTCGTTGGGCCAGGTCGGATGTGACAGGCCTGGCCCCCCTGCTTTTAAAATTTGGTTTTGAAACAATGTACAGCGTGTGCGGCCTTGGAAACAGGCTTTGACACACACACACACACACACACTTAGGATAGGGTGTACTGAAGTGAAAGCGGTGCCACACGCCAACCTAGCTTTAAAAAAACCTGAGTAAAACTTGCAAAAGTTGGAGGTCATCGCTCTTAGAGGCCATCGAAGGCAGGTTGAGAGGCCATCGCTAGGAGGTTGGTGACAAGAAACCACAAGACAGCAAAGCAGTCAAGGTCGGAGGTCTTTGCTCTTAGGTTGGAGGCCGTCGAAGGCAGGTTGAGGGGCCATCGCTAGTAGGTTGGAGACA